AATTATATAATTTGGCTCAACAAGACTCCATTTTATTCTCTATGCCAGACCCTGACGGGCAGAGTTCGGCGTGACGACGACGACGACAAGGACCCCAGCCTTCAGCCTCCAGCCTTGAAGCCTTCGGGGCGGCCTTCAGACTCCGGCCTATCGACCAGCCTTCGGTATCCAGCCTTCGCCATCCAGCCTCCAGCCTTCAGCATCCAGCCTTCAGCTTCAGCCTCCGGGGGCAGTAACAGGGCAGAGCGGGGGCAAAGGTGGGCCATGGGGCATTTGGTGGGCTCCATGGCGCCACTCGGGCCGCTGTCCATTCATCGGGCGTCGCGAGGCCGCCCGTCACGTCCAGAGCCACTGGCCGGGCAGGGATGGCAGGGAAGCTGCTGGCTGGTCCAGGCGGTCCAGGAGCAGGGCGGCGGGCCGGTCGGCAGGCGGCCCTTGAGCCTTGAGCAGCGGCCCCTGCTCGCCACCACAGACCTGTGTGGCCATGGAAGTGCGGCCGCAAATAGGGTCATAAACGATGCCACTTATTCGACTATATATCGGCTGATGTGCCGCTATTTAACGTACGTTCATAATTTGTGGAAAGCAGCGAGACAATAATGACCGGAGCAGGTAAAGGCTGGTTTAGCTTGTTGACAAAACTCTGGGTTGTTTTATAAGCCGGAATGCCTGGGAACATGCTGAAATTCACGATCGGGAGAAAGGGGGAATGCATTAATCACGAGGTCGCTCGCATGTGTAAAAGTCATGGCATGAGTGATAGAACGCAGCTTACGACCCCGTGCATGAGCTAATGGCCGCTCACTATCATTCATTTATCACAAGTATGAAAGAGAGGGGGGAATGTGTGTAGAGATACACGAGAGGCGCCTTTTGTAATTTCACTGGATTTCTCGAACACCCCGGCCGGCCCCCCTCCGACCAGGGCACTTCAGTCGTAAGGCGAGAGATGCTTGCCGGGACGCACGTTGTTGCCCGCGGCGCAAAAAAGGGAAGTTATTTCGTGATTTTACGACTCGAGCGTTGTCGCGGAAACTCATCTCATCGCATTCCGATCCGACTCTGCTCCGCCGCAGCGCTCTCGACGCGGCACGTGAGGGTCGCGGGCGATCGCGGGGCGGAGCGCGCCGGCCGGCCGTCCGGCGGGGACTTGAACGCACTCGCGGCACGAGAAGGGTTGTTGCGCGGCGGTGCGCCGCTCACTCACCTATAGTGCCTATGGAGGTCCATGGCTGCTGGTGTCCGGCTCGTGCCGCCCAGCGCGCGTCGCAGGAGGTCCCCTCTCTGTTCTTGCCGAAGCGGCTATCCCTGTCGCGGCACTTGTCAGTCGTCACCACACGGCCGTCCGCGGCATGGTCCTGGTCCTTCGTGACGTCACTCGCGCACTCCGCGTGAACAACGCGCTGCCTCCTGCTCGTGCCAGCCCAGCCCAGCCCAGCCCCGTGGTTCGCGCGCCTCGGAGCACTGAGCGTGAGAGGAGGAGAGGATGCAAGGAAGGCTGCATGGGGCCCAGCCGCCCAGCTCGCCAGGGCCGCGGGGCCCCGCTCGAGGCTCGGGGCGGCTCGAGGGCCGGGGCGGGCCGAGGCCCTGCCGAGGCCTTCCCGAAGCCCACCGGGGCGTCATCGGGCCCGGCCCGGCCCGGCCGGCGGGAGGCGGGACGCGCGGGGTGACGTGACGGCTTCTCCTCCCCCGCGCACTTCCCCGCCGCTTTCCTCCACATCCAGGCCGCTCCATCCCCTCCAGCAGCAGGGGCAGACCCCGGGCTCCTCGATCCTCTCCCCAACCCCCACAGTCCCGACCAGACACACACTACCATCAAAGGGTTGTCCTGAAGCTTCCGCATATACAATGTTGGCCTCAACAACTTATCTTTCGGGGGCTGGGTCCTGAACATTCTCCAAGGATTGGGAAGAGGTGGGGTGGGGAGGAGGGGATGCACCCAGAGGGCCCAGAGGCCCACTGGAGAGTGTAGCTGTAGCAGGTTGTTGCGTCTGGGGGAAACGCCGCAAATGGTCCTGGTACAAAAAGTTCAAGACGGCGTCGGCGGGCCGTGCCAGCCGCCCCGCCCGCCCCTCTCTACCATGCCCCACCAGGCCACGAGATGTCAGCACACGGACGATTTGCATGGGGCGGGGAGGGGGAGGGTTAGGGGAGGGTAGTCTGGCTGGCTGTCGGCACCTTTGACTAACCTACGCTGACGTGGACCACCCTGCCCCTTCCTGCCGGGGTGGGGGTGGGAAACAAGGCAAAGGGGCAGGCATAAGTGGCGTAGCATCCAGAGCTGCCTCCTCCGACGGCCGGGCCTCCGTAACCCTATAGACCTAGAGTCCTACAGTAACTGTTACCCACTACAGAGGCTTCCCTGTGTCGCAATTAATCTGACTCACCTGCTCCCCGTTTGTCGGTGTAGTCATTCTACTTCCCCGCAACCGGCAGTTCACAGGCCACGTCGCTATCACAACCTCCTACATTGTTCCTCTCTGTCGGCAGTGTCGGCTGATAGTGCGCGTGGGTGGAGGAACTCCCTCCTCCCCCTTCTCATGCCCCCCTTCCCGCCCCCTTACACCACGACGCACTCTCTGGGGGACAGTCACTTTTGTCACTTGGACCACGCTTCGACCCATCAAGTGCTTCGGACCACGTGCACCAGGCGAAACTCTCTGCGAAGTCTTTCATTGAGAGAGTTGAGAGTACTTCACTCCTCGCTCGAACCATGAGCGTTGGCCGAGATGGAGATGAAATCATAGGTCTGGGACTGTGACCTGTAAGCATCTGCTTTGCCCAGCCGCCCTGTCTAGGGCCTGAGCCTAGCCCGTCTGTGGCTTGCCTACTGTCTAGGGGAAGTGCGGGAGGAGCGCGGGTGGGGGGGGGGGGGGGGAGCCGAGGAGCGGCTCGCCGGCTTTGCTCTACGACCCTATGAGCGTGCGGAAGTCCTACGCCCTCTTCTCCCCGTCCTGACTCCGTTTCCTGCCCGGCTGTTCGGTTTGGCAATCTGACTTTTTAGCGGTGGCAGCCGCTGCGTCTAGGCCTGGGGCTAGGCCCCGCTTGGCTCCGCGGGGCTGGTAGCGGCCGTGGTGCGCGTGCTGGATATGAACATGGGCGACGCAACGAGACACCGCAAGGCCAGCCTCTCTATGGCATGATGCCGTCCCCCATGGGACGACACGAAGCAAAGCTCCAAAGTGAAAATTATTTTGCAAATGATATAGGTTTTCAAAATATCACACTGAAAGAAAATTGCATCATTTACTGTGCCTACATCAAGGTAGCCTACATACGTGTACACATTTTTTTTATGCTCAACTATTTGAACAAAAAACAACAACAACAAAACAACAATAAACAAACAATGCACTTGATGGCCTACTCATTTTATGTTTCTACGCCTCCTCTTCGCTAATTTTTGAATAAGCTGGACCGGCGGCCGTGCTGCGACAGTCATCATTGCAGACGCCTGCATGAAGCGGCAACCCATCTTGCACGCATGGGCGCCATGCTCCTCGTCCGTGTAGGATTGGAAGCCCACCCTCCAGGGGCCACACTGCGCCGTGTGCCGAACGCTTGTACCAGAATGTAGCGAGTGGCAATGAGGCGGCGTGCACGATTGTTATATTTTTAGAGTTCACGTTTTGATAAAGATGTGGGCGATCACTCAGCGTCCCCCGCCAGCAGACTCGCTAGTTCCTATGATACATACATACGTACTGTACATTCATACACACTTCTCTCAAGCTTTCTTCACAATCTTCAAGAGTAAAACGTATCTTCCGTACTTGTTCATATATCTATATATACATCTTCAGTACAGTTAGTATAGAACTTCAAGCACCCCACTTTCCCTCAGAATACAGCATATGATTGAATAATGTTTAAAATATCCCTATTATATGGTTACGATAGTGTGATAGTGTACACATGATTAAATCAGAAATTAACTGGTCTTTCAGGTATTATCGACAGGTATATCAACAACAAAGTCTGTTTACAATAGTAGATATCTTACCTATAACTGCAAAAGTGAGAGCTACATGAAGGCTACAAGACAATCTTTGCTTTACTTTTGTTGTTCACAAGTCATATTTGATGGATAAGTCTCTGTTCCTCCTCAAGAAGATGAGACTGATACGTATCTATTCTAATAAAGTCTGCAGAGTGCAGAAGTTATCACTTGATACATGATGATATAAGGTCCGAAATAACTACCCCAAAGTGATCACATAAACTTGATTTTGAGAAAAAGGTATGATTAACAAATACAAAATTATACTGGGTTCAAACATTGTTACTATATAAGATAAATACAGAGTAAAATTGAGAGAAACTGCTTTTGTAATACTGTTTGTGTCCTTCATTTTTCATTATGAAAAGGCAGTTACTGGATTTGAGCATAAATTTGAAAGAGTATAAGAAAAGGAAATAAACAAAAAATAAAACAAAAATAACACACCAAATTTATTAAAACAAAAAAAGAGGGGTGATCACATCTACAGGGAGTAGTTGTAGTGCCCTTTCAGGCACAAAGGCCTGTGCTAGGAGGCCAAGGTATTCGTTGTCAAATTACTGGACGTAACCTGGCTTACAGTATTTACATGTAAAGAATTAGACTTCAGTTTTGAATCTGGGATAGAGATGTTGTTCACTGACTCCCACGGATGAGTTAATGGTTGAATATTTAATTCTTTGCAAGTCTCTTGCAACTTTGTCCATTTTTCACTGGTAAGCCAGAGCCATAAACCCAATTTTTCATTCAGAGCTTCATTTGAGGGTTCACTAATTTCCCGAAGACTGTAAAAAATAAGCAAAGTTCAAATAGTATCTCTAGCAAAAATCAAGTTGTTTGTGAAAGATTTCAAAATGAATTTTCAAACACAGTACACATACATGTAGATTAGGTAACTTCTAAAACTGAAATCTAGAGATATTATGATACTTACTTGAAATACTTTCCCGTAGTCTGTTCAAGATCAGGATGAAGAGCAACATGCAACACATTTTGAGCCCCCTGTTTCGAGTTTTTTATAAAAGGATAGGCAATTGGTTTAAGTATAAACATTAGCATGCTGGTGAAAAATCCAGTGTTGCGAACAATATTTGTATCAACAATACCAGGGTGGACAGCATTTACAGTAACACCTGTGCCTAGAATTTTGCAAAGAGCAGAACAAAATTATATTACAAGTCAATCAAAATTTTTGTCAACCATAGCACCATAGCAAGCGTTAACTCAATCTTACCCTGTAGACGTTTAGCCAGTTCACGTGTGAAAAGTACATTTGCTAGTTTACTCTGATTGTATGCTCCACTTTCACTATAGTCATTAGCACTATTCAAGTCCTGCACATTTATTTTACCTTTGAAATGTGCAGTACTAGCAACATTCACAACACGACTCGGTGCACCTTTCTAAAACAAATTATCAACGGGTCCCTTGCTTATATTTAGAAGTAGAACAGTAGAAAAATGAATTATAAAATGAGTTACATTTACCTTGAGACTGTCCACAAGCAAATTTGTTAAGAAAAAATGACCTAAGTGATTCACACCCAACTGAGTTTCAAAGCCATCAGTTGTAACTTCTCGGGCACCCCACATAACTCCCGCGTTGTTTACCAGGAGATCAACTTTATCTTCATCTAAAAAAAAATACAATGTTTCACTAACGTTTCACTATAGATAATGAACTAGCGCTGAGCAAATTGTTTGGAATCAGATCAAATTAGCCAGATTTTAATTTAAATCACTGGGTCTAACGTAGTGAACTAAGATTTGTAAACAGCACATAACACATTTTCCCCAAAGACAAACCCAATTTCCTAAATCAGTTTTTCTAAGTGAAACATCAAATTGATTTCATTTTTCTACACCTGTCAAGCAATTTGTCTACTGGATTTGATTTGACCTCAAATTAGGCCTGATTCAAATCAATTTGATTCAAATCCTTAAGAGCTAGTTCAATGTGATTCAGAAGAAATTTTAGAGATTAGTTTTGATTTGATTCAAAGGCAAAACCCTTGGTTTGTACAGCTGCACAATAACATACAAATTGCAACAAAATTAGATTATACAAACCTTTGCGGATACGTCGAACAAATCTCTTCACAGATTCTAAAGAAGAAAGATCACAATATCTGCAGAAAATGTTTTTGTTGTCCGTAGCCAAGTATATATCTTCTCGTGCCTGGAAAGACGTTACAAACAGCATTCAAATTACACAAAAAAACTGAAAAATCATTGAAATGAACTTCAAATTAGAACGTACCGCTGCACATCTATCTTTGTCACGACAAGCTAGGTAAACTTTGGCACCACGCGAAGCAAGTTCTTTTGCAACTTCAAACCCTATCCCGGAGTTGGCTCCGGTAACAATGGCGACTTTTCCACCGATATCAACAGCAGCATCAAAATCAGGGCCACCAAGTTTTTCTCTGGAAAAAGCATAACTCTGATAAGTAACTTCGTAAGATAAAAATATGACTGAAATGGAACAGTTGGACAGTGTTATGGTGAACATAACCAAGTACTAGAAGAGGAACACAAGATTATAACTCACTTCACAAGAACTGAAGTTCCGGCGTACACACCGAGACCACATACAACCTTGGTCCATAATGGAATCCGATTCATTCTCGTAATATCGTGAGATGATTAACAACTTTACAATCAGTTCCTTAACAATATTTGCAAATCGGCCACTCTAACCTCTCATCCCCCTCGCACTACCCTCAACACTCTTTTGTTTTTGTCTTCTGCTTCTGTTCAGCACTATGAAAAATTCAACATGTTCAACATAATCAGAATGAAAAACTAATGATCACCCTATCATTTTGACTATCTGTATTTGTTATTTTAGTCCTTTTTATTTCAAAATTTGGCGTGTTAGCTTAAATGAAGGGTATTTAGGAGTTAGTGACAAGTACCTTTTAAACACTTTTTTAATTCATATCGGTCACACGCCTTTGTGTTTTTGAAACTTCAGAATTTTGAAATAATGGACTGAAAGGCACAGTGTATTTGATTGGTTATAGTGTAAAAAATGGAGATGAACTCCGGGACAAGTCAGAAATTAGCAAAGAAACGGACTCATAAGAAACATAAAACAGTTAAAAGAAGAAAACAGAATGACTCAAGTGGTGATGAATCTGTTGATATGTCAGAAGATGTATTTCCTATTGCCCATTACATCAGTAACCGAGATCAAATGATAGAACAAGTGTTTGCTGTCATGGAAAAAGAGAAGCTCAATTGTATGCTTCCCCCCATTTTAAAAGGCTTGACTCTAAGTGCATTAAAAGAAAGTTGCCTTAAGGAGCTGAAGAATATGTCTGACGAAGAAGTACGCAAAATACTATGTGGAGAACCACTTGAGACTCCTCCAGACAACAACTCCTTAACTCTTCAATTGGACACAGATTCTGGAGACAGTTTACCATCGGTTGAAGAATACTGCAGTGTAGAGGAAAAGAAGAAAACACTTCTAGATATTCTTGAACAGGAAATGCAGGAAATAGCTTACAATACAGTCTTGAAGAGAGATGAAAATACCGTATGCTCAGCTGATTCTGATGACGATTTGCCAGAGATAGTAGCGATAACACCAACTAATTCCTGTAAGTCACAGAATAATGTGCCACTTATATGCATAGATTCTGGAGACGAAGAGTCAATCTTACCTCCATATCAGTCTGCACATAGTAATTCAACTGAATCAAGTATTGTAGTTAGTGAAAACAGAAGCATTGCTGAGGAAAATCATTCAAATAATCATTTTGAATCTGGTATCGAAGTGATTTCTATAGACGAGACTCTGGAAAAAGACACTGATGTATCAACCAAAGCCACTACGGAAGAACCTGAAGATTTAGGATCCTCACCAAATTTTAACAAGACTGGTGTTTCATCACAGGAAAGTTTCCTTATCAAGGTCTTCTCAAGTAATAATTCCCACTCAGAAAGAGTTGTCAAAAAATTCTTTAAAAGTTCCATTGATGGTAAGGATGCAGACAAAATTACAGGTGTCATTAATGATGAACTTGAAATTAACAAACTTGATGGAAGAGAAAACAACATGTCACACTCCTCGCAGCCTTTAAAGGAAATTGAGAAAGAAGAAGAAATTGAAGTTTTTGATTTAGTTGAGAATGAATCAACTGAAGAACCGGGCAGCCCTCATTCTCTGTCCGACCATGATATCACAAGATCTGCCTGTAATACTAGTACAACTACAACTACAACTAACAATAATCAAGAGGTTTCACATTCCTTGAATAATGATGATACTTTTGAAGTGCCTCCTGGAAATGACGAACCTCTGTTGAATGAGGAGAAAGAGGAAGGTGAAATTTCAGAGGAAGAATCAGATGAAGATGTGGAGGTTGTTGGTAACAGGGAACAATTTCCAACAGTCTGTTTATCTTCTGATAGTTCAAGTGGGAAAAGTGATGAGGAGTTATCTGAGTCAAAAACTAGAGGACGGAAGCACCACCATCTTAGGCACAGAAGAAATAAACGTAGGATAGATTCACCAGAAAGATCCAGACGCCGCATTGAAAAACGTGGAAACCGTAGTTATCGACGTAAAACAGTAACTGATAATGCTCCTTCCCCTGAAAAATGTCAGGAAGTCACCACACAGGAAATAGACCTTAATTCAATTAGTTTACCTCCAGGGGAAATGCCCACTAAGCCATCAGTACAAAATAAGGACTGTGCAGAGACAACACCGCTGCAGCAAGACACACCCAAACATCCAGTTGTAGAAGACATTTTGAAGGAAACTAATGACTGTACAAATTCACCATGTAATAACTTAGAGGATGTAGTTGAAGGTAAGTGTGGCTTGTCTGAAGAACCCGAGGAACCCAATGCCAGTGAACCTGTTTCAACAAAAACATCATGGGCTGATAGGTGGGCAGAAAAAAAAGATTTGAAGAAAGTTGTGATAACCAGTAAAATTTGTAGAAATGTTCGAAAACGAATTCTATCTGCTCGGAAAAAACAGATTGTTTTAGAACCAGTGTGTGCTAGTGTTCCAGATTTACCGCCTGTGCCTCCTTTGGTGCTTCATGTTGAAGGTAGTGTCCAAGAATATCAGATGTTACAGTTATTGGTTAGTAATGGATCTGATGAAGAAAATAGTCAGAGTAAAAATGTGGAAGTAGAAAATTTACCTGACACATTAGCTTCAGAGTCTACGACTATTAGCAATGTTCCAGAGGGTGGTTGTTTGTCTAACCAGTCAGAAGTGGCTGAAGATCAACAAGAAAAAACATGATTACTTTTTTTTGTTTTTAATTTTAGTCAGAAGTGGCATTGATTTTTGAATGAATCAAAATACATTGCGGTTTCTGTGACATGTTACTGATCTCATGTCTTCTTCAACAAGCAGCAACTGAGTTTTGCTGATAACATTATTTAGAATATATTTCAAATCAGGAATGGAAGATTGTTTCTCTTTATCTTATGCTAAGCGTTTAAGATTCTTCACAATAGTCATAATGAGGAAGTCTTTTTAAAATTATTTCACTTGTTTCATGATTACCTATGTTCTTTATCAAAACAACTATTTTCCTAAAACTAAATATTAAATATACACTGTCAATAAAATCGGTCTGATGCATATTGTTAACTCATTGCATGTCCTGCCAGGTGCAAATAAAGAAAGCCGAAGATTTCATTCAAAGATTGTCTAGATTTTTTTTCTTATGTATAGCACAAACCAAGGCTTTTTGGAGGCTCAGATAGAATTTGTAAAGGTTTTCAAATTAGAGGTGAGGCATATCTTCCTAATACAAAACTGACAGAAAATGTGAGAGCAGTATTCTGAAAATAGTGGTATTACTTAACTTGTGCCAATACAACAGTAAATTTGAGCCATCATAAGGTTATTTTACTGTTTAATTGTGATAGCTTGATGACTATCACAATTTGTCTCATAGATATGTCAAGTTGAAGTGCAAAAGAAAAATCAGCAAAAATAAAAACTTTTTAAATGCAGAGTGGCATTTAACAAATGTAATATCACATGGATTTAGACCAAAAAATATGATCTCCAAGGCGTAACATGCTGAAAGTTAAATATGGCACAAAGGGATGGTCAGAAGACACTGCCACTTGTAAAGAGACTGCTACTGACAAAAAGAGTAGCTTGTATATTTGACTGCTACAGGGCAATGGCTCATCAGATAGGTCTTCACACATGACCCACAACTTCAAATCAACTCAAAATACAAATTAAAAATACAGGAACAAGAATAATTGTAATCACACTTTTAGATACCCATGCAACTAGAGTGAATTGACGATAAAACAATATTATCACAAAGTATACTGATTATTCATTTGTAATCTCTGCTGTGACAGGCACACTACTACAGAAACAAGCATGAGAATATATTAAAGAATTATCACATTTTGATGAAACTATCATAATCTTAGAAACCATCTGGCTTCTTACATTCAAGAATTTGACATGAACAACAGAACATTACCAATTATATCAATAGTATGAAATACTGTAACAATTACACATAAATGCAAGGCTTTGCTTCACACCAAACCCAGCTGTAATTAGGGTTACCTCATCCTAATATAAAAAGTAATATTAGACATTTCAAATCTGTCTCCACGTTTACCGGAGCTTCTGAGACACCTGTTAATTTTATCTAAACCTTGTCAGCATTGCCAACACGCGTTGCTTCTCACAAAGTATGCTAGTCTAAAAGACAAAGAAATAAAAAGGTGGTGCCATAAACAAACAAAATAAAGTTTTGTTCTAAATTTTGCCGTAACAGAAAAAGAGCAGTGTTAAATAAAACACAAAGTGTGTTTAAAAAAAAAAAATATTCAAAACAATACAGATTGTAGGTAGATTGAAATACTCACATACTGCTCCAGTCAAGTAGAATGAGTTTGACTGCATGTAACACCTAAAAGATATAATTACAATAATATTTAGGACAGAACCAAACTACAGGTTAACATTTAAGTAACTTTGTCTTGAAAACAATCAAGTTCCTATACGTCAAAAATGATATAAGGTGACAAGCATGATTTCTTTCTTATAACATAAAATTAAAAAATGATATTGAAAAATTAGACACAGTTGAGGCTGAAAAACAGGTTTATATTGTGTCTTCTCCTAATCCTTCGTCACAATCATGTTCTTCAGCCTGTACTTCAAAACCAGGTGATTTTTCACAATCTTCTTCTATTTTTAAAAGATCAATTAACCAATCTGGGAAAGGATCAGCATATTTTGGCAAATCAACTTCCTCTGCAACAGGAACTGCCAACAAAGCCTGCATTTCTCCTTCTTGTACTAGAGCAACAAATTCTCTTTCTTCACCCAGTTCGGCTACAGCATTATTGCCTTCACCATCTCGGTTGTTATTGGCTAAATCACCATTTTCAACATTTTCAAATACAATAGGGACAATTGGATGTCTTGGGTGGATTATTCTTCGAAGCAAAGCAGGTGCACGGTCTGATAAGTCACTAAGTTCATCTTCTGAAAGAGATTGATTAGATCTCTCATCATTTTCTGATGAGATGTCATCAACTTGTTCAGGGGTCAAATCCACATCAATATCATGGTGGAGGGAGGAGGAATTTGGGTACCCACTGTCGCCAGCAAAATCTAAACTGCAACTATCAACTGCGTCTCTAACTAGTGAACCATCAAGAGATTTGCGCTCAGAGCTCATTGACATGTTTACACTTCCAGGGATCTTGTCAGAATCATAGTACTTTTGACCTGTGTAGCAGAGAGCGACACTTGTAGAGGGAGCATATTCTACGTATTCTAGGCCTGCACGACGCTTAAGTGAGCATGATTCATCCAAATGTAAGACTTCTACAGATGTAGACTTAGGTAAATCTTTGGTTTTAGTAAACGTACATTCAACAACAGAGGATCTCATTCCACAAGGAAACACATCTCCTATTTCATCTTGAGGGTAACTTGAATTCAATAGTGGTGACAAATCAACACCAGAGTCTGTAATAGGCTCTCGTTTTGTGTTCAATATTAGTTCATGTTCATTCGATGAGGAAAGAGGACTTGATGCAGCACAAACACTAGCAGAACCAAAGTCACTTATAATTGAGGTTCCATGGGGAGGACTATCTTCAATTACACTCCTACCACAGCTGTCAGATGATTTGGAATCAGCTTTGCTTTGGTACCTTGAAGAATAAACACGCTGTGGTACTGATGAATTCCACCTTCTCTCACAATCAGCCTGAACTCCATCCAGTTCTTCATCTTCATATTTTCGGTTAACATTATCATCATCACTGTTGTCATCACTATCTGAATTATACACCCAATCACTTTCAATCATAGTCATATGAACCTGTCTTTCATGAACTAAATTCAATGCATTGTCAATTAATGCTACACCCATATGATATTCTGCGAGTGAACTTTGTTCTAAAAACCATAAAGGGGGATCTTCGGTGTCCCACCTTTCTTCATTGTCCTCCTCAGGTGCAACAACTTCATCAGTTCTTTGGTTCTCTTGTTCATCGTCCTCACTATGACTGTGAGAGCTTTCCGGATATAAATTGTACGAGATAGAAATTTGACCATTCTCTTCAATTAAATCTGTAGGGGCTATCAAGGACCTGAGAAGAAAGGAGGCAAAGGTAATTCAAAATGCAAACGAAAGGAAGTTTTTCTCTATAAAAAGGATAGGGTGCAATTTTACCTCACAGATTCAATATCTGCTGATGGAATAATTTTTTGTACAGCTGTAGTCAGGTCTAGTAGAGGTATCTTGGATATTTCATAATCTCCTTTATACAATTCTAAATATGCCATCCTATTTAACTGATATAGCACTTCATTACTGAGTTTTTCTTCATCACTTCTTGTGTCAGGTTCTTTGCCAGGGTGATCATAAGTTCTGCAGGTGGTGTAAACTTCTTTGGCATCCTGTGGGTAGAAATAAGCCAGTTAGTGCATTGAGAGCAGGGTAGAATAAAAACCAAGCAGGAAATTTTTTATTGTCATACCAACCTCAGACTGAGTAGGTACATAATCATGGTTTCTAATGAATAGTGCCAGCTGAGAACAATATCCGACATCTTCTTTACCTTCAGGGGGAACACCAACTCCACTTATTTCTACTTTGTAGTGTGGGTATTGAGATATAATTTTGTTTGTCCTATTTGAAAAGTCAATCATGAGTTGGAGAGCAGGGTATCTTATCTTAAAAATGAAAAACAGTAGCATGCACTCACCAGTCAGAAAACTCACTTCTTGACCACTCAAATTTATGGTCATAGTGTCTGAACTTCCCTAGCATACCTTTCAATAACACATTAAAGTCTGAATTGGGAGTAGTAAATATTGCAATATCTGGCTGTATAAACCCAAAAATGGTTCTCTCAAGCTTTGCAACTATATCCATTTCGAGATGCTCAATTCTAAATGAAACAGATGCACATACAATTTCACGTACTTCCAGAATATGCACAGCAATAAGATCCAGTACTTACAATTCTATGCAAACAACAGCATTAGCCCCTAGCAACCTGACATCACAGTCAGCAACACTTCCGCAGAGGACCTCAACATGTAAAGGGTTTTGACGGGGATTTAGAAAATCGGAATTTAGGGGACTAGCACGGCAAACATAGTAGTCCAATATATGTGGATCAATATCCACCATTATAACTTCGCTGATGTGAGAAACTTGTTTAAAATACTGAAACATTGCAAGCTCAGCACATCCAAATTCGACAACCTGAAACAGTTGGAATATTGCATGGTGCCAAAGTCAAAATACTGATTCAACATACACATATATTACAGAGAATTGTAAAAGATATGACACTTACTTTTGTCGGAAGTGGGGACCACCTTTCTTCTTTTAGGATTTGTCTCACAACCTCATACCTTTGACGGTACAAAGGGGGGAAAAACTTAAGATTATCTTCTGCATCAACAAAGGCTCTGCCATGATATGGATTATCGGAATCACGAATTCCAAGGTCCCAATCAGAACCGCAACTTTTTTCGCTAATCTCTTCATTTAACTTGTTTTCAGTTTGGTGATAATCACCACCACTAGTTGTGGGATTCGTTGTTTCCATTGTAACCAGAACTAGAATTTTAGACTAGAAAAAGTACACGAAATAGGCGAAGAAAACTTTCAACACCAGCATTAGTTCATTTTCAAACTATTTCACTGACTTCATGCACGTCCATCAAGACTGAACCGAACAAGACACATTTTCTTCGCAATATTTTCGCTACACGCCACAGCAGAAGCAGACAGCCAAACAGCACTGGTTTACGTGAAAAATAGAAATAAAAACAAATAACAGCCATTCGGCGTTGCCTTGTGTAAGGCACGGTAAAGGGATTGTAGTTGCCGCAACAAAACGACAACCTTTGAATCGACATTGACAAAGTAGTGATAGGAAGTTTCCTTTTTCAAAAATAAACAAAGTGCTGTTACCTGATATTTCATTTTGCGCAGTCGAAGGGCACATAACTTTGTGCTTGGAACGTTCTTGTCGTAAAAAGTAACTTTAAAATGGCAGCACTGATTGCCACGCTCGCAAGCTTTGCGGGTGCGGGGCGGGGGGCGGGGAGAGGACGGTAGTGGGGGGCAGTGTGGCTTTTCGGTCCGGTCGTCGGTCCCCGCTTCGCCGGCCGGGTATTCTGTTGACGTACGTGTTTTTCAAAGATTTGTTTTTGCACAATTCCAGTGAAGCATTTACAACCGTGCTGATTATCCTGCTTGCATTTATGATCCCTTTTCGTTTCCCTCGCACCATTGCAATTTTTTAACGTGTATTTTTTTTTCTTGATTGAAGTTGAACTCTTTTTAATTTGAGGTTAAAGTTTCTTTTTTTAAAAAACGGTAAACAGTTTATATCTAGTTTCCTTTTCTCACTGCAAAATATTTCTTGACTTTTCTAAATACTGTAAAGTGTATTCTTGACCTTTAACACCATCAAGCTTCTAGGTGCTCTACACCTTTTTTTAGTTAATTTTTTAAAGACAAACAAAATTTCAACTGCTGTCATTATAAATTAAGAATAACGCTTATTCCGTATTTTGCTTACTTGACGAAAATCTCGTCTATTTTGTTGTTGATAACCTTTTTATCTCACTATCACCTCCAATTTCTCTTTCAGGTAAACTTATTCCAACATGGGTTTTCTTGGGTTGAATTCCCATGTTCTACGTATGACTAGGGATAAACAGGAATCTCTCCTTACCTTAAGTATTCTTTCATTAGCTGCTGTGTTGTGTAAGTAAAAGTCTTTGCTTCAAATCACATTTTGTGTGCAGAATCATTTTCAAATTGTTAACATTTGTTTTAGCATTTGCAACTCGACTTTTTTCTGTCTTACGTTATGAAAGTGTCATTCATGAGTTTGATCCTTATTTCAACTATCGGACCACAAAATACCTTACTGAAGAAGGGTTTTACAATTTTCACAACTGGTTTGATGACAGAGCGTGGTACCCTCTGGGCAGAATCATTGGTGGTACGTAATTGAATTGCTCTGTTCCCCTTTTTTATTTTAAGTTTTACTCTTGAATACCAATATTTCAGTTATTGTTCGACAAATGTATCTTTTTGTCAATTATTCAGTTCTTTGTTTTTCTGTCTCAGGTACTATCTATCCTGGCTTAATGGTTACCTCTGCTGCTCTTTTCCGATTGATGTGGCTACTCAATGTTACTATCGATATTCGAAATGTGTGTGTTTTTTTGGCTCCTTTCTTCTCCAGCTTGACAACAATTGTTACATACCGTTTGACCAAAGAGCTTTGGGTATGTGTAGCTTGGTCTCAGTCATTGGTTTTAACTTTTTAACTTATTTGAAGTTTTTACGAAATGTAACTTTATTTTTATGTTGACAGGACTCAGGAGCAGGTTTAGTTGCTGCTGTAATGATTTCAATCGTTCCTGGTTATATTTCTCGTTCTGTTGCTGGTTCTTATGACAACGAAGGTAAACTATATTTCCAATTCTGTTTACTTCCATCTAAAATTCATGGTTTGTTCTTATACCAGTTTCTCTTTTAAAGGAATTGCTATATTTTGTATGCTCCTAACCTACTACATGTGGATCAAAGCGGTCAAAACAGGCACCATTTACTGGGCGACTCTTGCTGCATTAAGTTACTTCTACATGGTACTGAAAATTAATTTTTCTTATCTATGGCTCATTTTACAATCATTTTTACAAAGTTAATGTCAATCTTCTATAATTGAAGCCAAAGCATTTTTGCAAAGGAGCATTTATTGTTTGTCTGGACTTATAACTTCCTTTTTTTAATGCTACCATAGTGTTGTGGATACAGGGTGGCCGCTCTGCCTCGTTGTTTTAAAAAGGTATACTAGCCCGCCCGCACCTACCTCTCCCGTCCCCTCTCACCTTCCCCCTCCATTTGCAAGCGGGCTAGTCTACCTTTTCAAAACAACGGGGCAGAGCGGCCACCCTGTATTTGGCATTAGTAGTAACTAAGAAAAAAGATTGTGAATTGGCTTATAAAAGTGCACAATTGTTGTAATTTTCTTCTTATTTAAGTAATTGAGTTTTATTTTATTTTATTTAAGGTCTCATCATGGGGAGGATATGTTTTCCTAATCAATCTTATCCCTCTACACGTCTTAGTTCTGATGCTTACTGGCCGGTTTTCACACCGGATTTACTCAGCGTACAGCACTTTGTACTGTGTTGGTACTTTGCTTTCCATGCAAGTGAGCTTTGTTGGGTTTCAGCCAATCCAGACCTCTGAGCACATGCTTGTAAGTTACTTTCCCCGATAATGGGTATATGGTATTCTATCTGTAACTAGTGTTGCCGTTGATGTTCATTAATCTTTATCACAAATAATTGTGTTCCAGGCTCTTGGTGTCTTTGGTCTCTGTCAGATTTATGCTTTTGTTGAGTACCTCAAAAGTAAACTGAACAAAGATGACTTTGATGTTCTCTTTAAAGCTCTTGTATGGGGTATTGCTGCTCTCAGTTTGCTTTTTGGAGCAGTACTCACTTTGAGTGGCAAAATTGCCCCATGGACTGGTCGCTTCTATTCCCTACTAGATCCCTCATATGCCAAAAATAACATTCCAATCATTGCATCCGTTTCTGAACATCAGCCTACATCATGGAGCTCATTTTATTTTGATCTACAAATTATGGTGTTCTTATTTCCAACTGGATTGTACTTCTGCTTTTCTAAATTAACTGATGCCAATATTTTTATCATATTGTACGGTGTGACAAGCATTTACTTTGCTGTGAGTATCAGTTTATTTTCCTCTCATAGTTTAAGTATTTGTTGTCTAGTTTTCCTGGCATAAATTTATATATGATCACCAATAATGCTTTTACGTAATTTTTACAGGGTGTCATGGTGCGTTTAATGTTGGTTTTGGCTCCTGTCATGTGCATCTTGTCTGGCATTGCTGTGTCAGCTATGCTCACAATCTACATGAGACAAGTTGACCCCTCTAAAAATGTTGATAAAAAAATCAAGAAATTTGACAATTTTTCAATGAAGAGTGAGATTGCCACTGCTTTTGTTGGAATGATTACCTTCTTGCTTATATCATATACCTTCCACTGCACTTGGGTTACATCTGAAGCTTACAGTTCTCCAAGTATTGTGTTATCTGCTCGTTCTCAAGATGGTTCCAGAGTCCTCTTTGATGATTTTCGAGAGGCATATTATTGGTTGAAAATGAATACTCCAGAAGATGCTAAAGTTATGTCATGGTGGGATTATGGATATCAGATAACAGCTATGGCAAATAGAACAATTCTTGTTGATAACAATACTTGGAACAACACCCATATTTCTCGTGTCGGACAGGCAATGGCCTCTACTGAGGAGAAAGCATATGAAATAATGCAAGAGTTAGATGTTGATTATGTTCTTGTAATATTTGGAGGTGTCATAGGTTATTCTTCTGATGGTTAGTATACTGTCAAACAGACAAATTATGTTTACATAATTTATGGTGCTGAGTCTAATTTTATTTCCATTTATTCTGCAGATATCAATAAATTTTTGTGGATGGTGCGCATTGGTGGTAGTACAGAGAGTGGCAGTCACATCAAAGAAACGGATTATTATTCACCTTCTGGGGAATTCAGAGTTGATAAAGAAGGATCTCCTACATTATTGAATTGCCTCATGTACAAGATGTGCTACTACAGGTTTGGTCAACAGTACACTGAAATGGGAAGACCTGCTGGTTGGGATCGAGTTCGTGGTGCAGAGATAGGTAATAAGGACTTTGAACTTGATGTGTTAGAAGAGGCTTACACAACAGACCATTGGTTAGTACGGATTTACAAAGTTAAAAATATGCGCAACCGGGGAATTTAAACAGGTTTGGACAGTATTAACATTTTGGCATGGTCTTAAGGGCTATTTTCCGTAATGTCTTATTTTCGTGTTTTTGACTCTCAGTTGTATTACTTTTTTCATCTATCAGTATGTAGTTTAATCTTGATGTACGCCTGTTAGGGTTGATGATGCGCCTCTTGCAACTTTCATCATTATGATATGATGATTATTTGTCTTGTTTTTACTTTCAACCAATATCTGTTAACACTAAACCCGTGTAAATGAATTCCACTGCCCCCTCTGGACCTTTATTTAAAAAATCAACATTTGACCTACAAATGTTTTTTAGTCGTTTACTTAAAGGTTAGTGAGTATAACATGAAGTCGTGCAGAGATCATGGACGATCTAATCATGTTTAGCCAATATCTCCCCATTTAAAGTAAACACTTATTTAGAAAGATAACCAGATCTAATTTTTTAAAAAAACAATTCAAAAAATACAAGAAAAATAATAAAAACATGTACAATTTAGCTCTTAGTCTTTGGTGCTCAAACTTCCCTACTCAATCCAGGAATCTAACTTTTAAGTAGGAGTTAGTTAAATCTTCCAATTTTTTTCAGCAGTCATCTTTGAGGATTGTCTATCATTCTAAACCTGAACCGGAGTTAGTTTGCAGGTTCAGTACATTAGTGAGATCTCTATGTGTTTGACACCTTGTGATGCCTGAATGATGAGATTTACTAATGAAGGTGATGATTCATCCACAATCATATGAGCTCTTCTTTGCTTTAGCTTTAACGCACACTCGTTTTTTTTTACTAAATTTACTTTTTCCTATTTAAATAATATATCAGCTTTGAAGTGAGTGAAGGGCATAACATTGTTTAAATACTCTCATTTGATGATATGCGAGTTTGATATAATATATGTATTTTAAGTGTGTAGGTGCCTAGTCATGACAGACTTGACATTTACCTTATTTGTAGTTTTGTAAATTTCTGATTCTGGGTATAGACTATGTTTTGAGAGCCAGAATGTGAAAGAAAATTTCTCTTCTCATTGGTTGTTATTATAGAGGTGCCCTTTAAAAAGAAAAAACACATGAAAACATGCTAATCTCCAAAATTTTGATCCATACCATGGAAAATTGAGTTTGGAGCCTGCTTTTATTACATCAGAAAAGTTGTATGTTTGTAGAAGTGGGGTTCTTATAGTCTTAATTTGTAAATAAAGATATACCGCTGTTGACTGGTACAAATTCTTGCATGGTACCTCATGTGAAATGAATTCAATCTACACTGTTTTGTATCAATATTAATATTCCATTAAATCAGCTTAAAACAATGAACCAATCTGATCTGATTTGATTCATATCCTGCTCCCTTATTTTTCTCTTATGCTCTTTCGGAGTCTCATACCCAGCAAGGAGGATTAATGTTCCTTCAGAATTAGCATTATTCAAAATGCGACTCGCACGCACGAACACAAATGCCGACTCCTTGAGATTCTTTAGATAAGTAAGCGCGGCAGCCCTTTCCCCTTTCTCAAGGCTCAAGCTCAAGGCAAAGACCCACTCACTCCTATTTTTGAAAATAGCCGCCACGACCGGCGCCCTTGGAGTCGCGTAGTACCGCCAAATTTGTCATACTTCGGAAACAAGCCACATGTTTGAATGAAATGTTTTGACGTTTCTTACTCTTGTTGTTTCTCTGCATTCTTGGCCTCTCTTAAAGTCACAACAACAAAGTTATCATTGCTTCGATCCAGATTCTGAGATATCTTCTCAACAGCAGTGTTAAATGAGCTTCTTTTGATCTGCTCTGAGCAATCATGTCTGAAAAAGTGGAGGGACCCTTGGTTGATCGCTCATTTCGTTTAGTTGAAAATCAACATATATCAAGAAGCTGGTTATACACCCAGACTTTCTTTTATATGTGTGCTGCTTTAGCTGGGTTTGCTTGTGCATATACTCTCCGAACATTTAGAAACATATTTTCTGACTCATGCCTCATCAACATCGAGTTTAGCTCAAATATTAAATCTCGTGAAGTCCAAGCAGTGTATGGGCCTAGCACTAAGTGCGATTACTGTGAGTTTGTACCAGTTGTCGCATCGATAGCTGCTCTTGTCCTTGCTATGTTCTTTATTATGAGTGGCCGTGGAGGTAAAGGCTCTCCTGGGTGGGTATTGTTAGTATTGCTAAGTACTTTTAAAAAGAAGGGGGTGAGTGCTAACTATGCTATGATATTTGTTTCAGATTCCTCCCATCCCCTTGGCGCATTGTGATTCCAGCATTGGTGTTCAATCTCATTGCGCTAGGCTTTGTCATATCTGCCACCACATCTCTGCACAATGGTCTCCAGAAATTTTGTGATCAACTTCTTGGAAAGCAACTAGAAATGGGAGGAACTGGAGTAAATGGAACAACAGCTGATATTGATGTGAATCCACAACATGGGTTCCGAACGTTAACTGGGTATGTTGTAATCCTAATTCTTATTTTTATCCTCTATTACTTTTATCCTCTATTATTTTATTTTTTTGTAGTTTCTATTAGTGTCAGGTAGAATTCATAGATCTCAGTAAACTAGAAAAACTCACTGTGGACTCCTTGTGAGTCATTTTCAATTTTTTATGTTTATTGCCCTAAGAGGAATTTGAGCCGTCACTCTGACTTTGACTTCAAAATAGGCCCTCATTTCGATGCCTTTTTGCACTCATCCTGATGTCATTGTGACTGAATGTGACATCCTAAATTATATATTGGTCACAATGACATTTAAAGACGGTGAAATGAATGATCATTCTGACATCATGGAGACATTCGTGGCTCAAATTCCTCCTTGAGTGGTATACACGGTATACAACACAAGTAGATACAATGTTGTGAAACCAGTAAAAAATTAGCTCTGCTGTACCTTTCCTTGCAAATAAGTTAACAGCCCTTCTTTGTAGTAAATGCTCATTTTGATCTGGGCTCTACCCGGCAGTATTTGTAGATTTAAGTTTTACAAATGAGGAGTCTTATATCCTTTTTATTAATGTAGTATTATGGCACACAACTTGGGTGAACATATACAACATTTGATATTTTAACAAGAGCAGTTCATTAGAATAGCCCATTGATAGAGTGCAAGACAGCTTTGTAACTGGCTTATTTCTAATTATTCTTTAATTTGCAACACTCCAAAATGGTCATATCTTATTGGTTTAATAAAATCACCTTTCTTTGTCAAGATTTTTTTTTTATGACCAGTAGTATGATGCACTTCTTAGTTTTGCATATTTGCTTGATGCTTGATCTTCTACTAAACAGGTGTAGAGTGGATCTCAATGAAACAGTTCCTTCAGATCAGCATAGTCCCTTGCATGCTATAACACCAGCTAACTATGCACTTTTGGAAATTTCTCAGGTAAGCACTTTTTTGACCTACATATATTTATTCCATATTTGTATTTTCCTTTTGACATTAACATTTGTTGTCACATATCTCCATCTGTATCACGCTAACCTAGATATTTTCTTTGAAGGTGGCATCATGGTGTAATGTTATTTCATGGGTAATGTGTGCATCAATTACTCTATTGCGTTTCCTGTGTTTGGCTGACTTTCGATTGGTGCGCTTTGATTTTCATTTGGTTACATCTCAGGCTGATGTTGAGGTAAGCTGCTTCCATCACTTTTATTTTCGTTTAAATCATGTCCATAATGCTTAGATTTTTTTAATATGCATTTTTCTATCTATCAAACTTCTAGAAACCTGATTCCAGTTCCACAATGCGTACTGCTCGTGGGGAATCAACAGAATATTTCCCTGCCAACGACGGCTTAGAAGTCACCCATTCTCCTGAATAAAACTAGTCAGTTATACACAACAGAAGAAAACATTTTTAAACCTTTTATGTCTTATGTGATAGATGATAGAATCTCTGAAAATTCTTGCCAACAAATTTAAAATTGGCAGTTTGAAATTCTCAAAGCTCATCTTATTTCTGTATTGTGATTCCCTTCCAGTTTTCAAGAATCTAAACATATTTGCATGAATCTCAAGTCTCAATGTCATGGTTTTTCTAATATTGCATTCAGATCTATCTGCACTTAATACTTAAAACTAAGACTGTTCTGTACTTTGAACTTAAATAAGACTGCAGCCTATTCTTTATTGCACTGAGTAGTTTGCATCTCCAGTTATGTCCAAAAGTTTTGTTGATCTGCCCTCGCCTTCTTGCCAAGCATGAGAGATCTTCCACTTTTCGCACATTCCGTATTCTTTCTTACTCTATTGTAACGTCCTCACAACCTGTGCATTTTCCTTAATAGCTTTTAAGATTTGTTAAGTATATTTTTTATAGTCCTCTAAATATTTTTGTGGCCAAGATGGTATCTAGTCGTTCAGAAGTTTGCATCACTTGTCAATATGTTTTGAGTGTACTTATGAAATTGACTTTTCTTTGTACTCTTCCTAATTTACCTTAGTATTGTACAGAGACTGAACTCCATTGTTCTGCTATATCTCATTACATTAATATTCTATCCCTCCAATAGTGATAGTGAAATTTTCTTTCATACTTAGATTAGAAAATTGTGTGAGATATTTTTGTCTTTTATCTTCTTTTTTTAAACTTGCAATTGACAATGATTGATGTCTCTTTCTAGTGGGTTATTAGAAATATGTTGAGTCTCACAATTTTTTGAAAACTTCCATTTGCTTTTTAAATTAATTCTTTGTAGCCCTGTGAAATTGTTTGTGTGATGTACTAATTATTTGATTGTCACATCACTGACTCAACCATTGCTCTCATATTTTATATCTACAATTCTTGCCAATGACATGTCTATTTTAATAGTAATATTTTATTGTACCTTAAATTGACCAAACTTTTACATTATTAACCTTAAGATTTAACTTAATCAAGGACTCCATAAACTTGCATCTTGCGGACAGCAAAAATAAAGTATGGATAAGTGTGACAATAATATTCTTCTAGTTTGATATTACACTTCACACTTCTTATTCTGTCATGAAAATACATAGGTGTATGATATTGAGTCTTTGTAGATTTACACTGGCATTTCTTATGTCCCAAACAGCTTATTCAGTCCAATCCTCTTTCCAGTCCAGTCCGCTCTAGGCAGATCCTCTTGCTCTCACAGGCCACAATGCTCGGTGTGATCTGTCTTGTGAGGCGTTCCCGCTACCATGGGGTGCAGCTGCATCAAGACAATCTCGTAGGAAATTATTGTCCCGGCAACCTGAGGCAAAGCGAAAGAGAGATTCGTAATTTCACCATCGCATAATCAGCACCATAGAGTGGCGGTGAGCGTGACAATCCCCACCGTCAGGATGAGCCCCCTTGTAACGGAGAAGAATCGACAGCCGGTGAGGGCAACGTGATCGCGGGTGACTTGACTCATGAAGCGCTCCACTTCGTGCGTGTAGCCCTCCGCGGGCACGCCGAACAGCACCCGGAGTGGCCTCCTGCTCTGGTCGTTGACAGACGCCGCAAACAGCGAGACCAGCACAGTCCGCAGCAGCATGTAGCCGAACGAATAGATAAAGTACAGGTTGTACCAGAAGCCCGTGCGTAGCGTCCTGCGGCAAAAAGAATTTCAGCAAATTTAGCAATGCACTGACGTTTGTCTGGAAGCACCCTTAAGTTGTGGAGTACAACGAAAGCAACCTGAAGCTGTGCAGCAGCTGTCGGCAGATGAAATACATGTTGGACGCGAAGGAGAGTAGCACGAGCTTCCCGATGGCGTCGTCCACTTCTCGGCACAGCACCGACAGCTCATTGTAAGTTTCTCTCGCCCGACGCCAAAAGTCGTCCGTCATTACCTAGGTGACCAGAGTGAGGAAAGCTTCATCTCAAGTCCGGGCGTTTCTTTGAATACACTCCACGGTTGTATGATTGGGGAGGGAGTACGAAAAACCGTAACACTGGAGCGCAATCAACGAAACACCCGGTAGCTTCACATCACACGGTGAAACACATGCGCTCGACTCACCTTGCCCGTCACGGCCTCCAGCCGCTCGTTGACCTGCTTGAAGCGGTGGCTGAGAGGCATGCTAATAAGCATGACGAACAAGTGATTGAAGTTCCAGAAAAAGGTGCCCACGAAGTTGAAGAAAAGTACGACAACCGCCTTCCAGTGCTCGTAGGCCATGACAGTGAAGGTCATGGGGAACTTGAGCAGCGAGTACCCCTTGAGCAGGCCGCCCGGCCCCGCCTCCATGTAGCACGGCCACGTGAAGTCCACGGCGCTCCACACGGACAGGATGTGCTCGACTGGTGGGGCAAACAAACGGGGGTAAAGAACACACCGATGGCTCTGCCTACACCAGCTCCTCTCCTCCGCCGCCCCAGGACTCACCGGCCGCGCCGAGGAGGACGACGGCAGTGAGGCGCTTCATCTGCCTCCGCAGGAGGGGCGGGTACCCAAAGTCTACCATGTGACTCTCGACGCACTCGAAGGAGCGGGTGAGGCGGCGCCAACGCGGGCCAAGCTCGAGGAACAGCACCGTGGCGGCCGTGGCCGAGCCGAAGAACATCATGTCCACTGGAACCGGAGGGCGGGGAGTCAGGACATCGCCCTTGTCGGCTCACCACGGGGAGAGAAGAAGTTCACCTGAGCTGTCCCACAGGGAGTCGGCCGTCATCTCGCGGTACAGAGACAGCGCCGCTTGCACGCTCAGGCCCACGACGATCACCCCGGCGTACAGCAACCGCAGTATCCTGACCCCCGACCAGCGACGCGTCCTGGAACTGAAGGGCAGGTGAGTCGGCGCGGGTTGGAGTGAGGCACTCGGGGGCTCGGGGAGGGCGGGTACGGCACCTGTCCTGTGAGAGGGAGGGCCCCAGCTCCGGGTGCAGGAGCGAGAAGAAGTAACCGATGATGAGCGCGTGCCGGATGGAGCCGGAGAAGGAGTCCGGGTGTACCCTGGTGAGCGGCGCTCGCCGACCCTCCAAGTCCGGATCCGGGTCGTGATCATGGTGCGCATGCGGGGGCGTTCGCGAACGCTCGTCCGCGTGTCTGTCGGCGGGCTGGATGTGTAGCCAGGGGCAGCGTGGCGGGCAGGGGCACCACCAGCCTCCCGCCCCGCACGCCCCCAGCGCCACCGTGCTCACCGGGCCGCCCCCGGACTCAGCGGCGGGCTTAGGGCACGGCGGCGTCCTGGGCAGTCGAGGCGGCAGTGGCATCGGAGAAAGTGAGCTGACGGTCGTCAGCGGCATCCTGGGCCTCACTGCGATCAGAAGGAGGGGTTTGCGTGAGTGAAGGATGTCACGTTCCGCTCAGACCTCCCTGCTCCCGCATTCCCGCTCCCGATCCCGCTCGAGTCCTTCCCCCGCCCACCCCGGCTGCCCGTGGCGCACGCAGCGTCCAGGCGTCGGGGGCTGCGCTACGCGGTGCCGCAGCTCAAGCCAGACTCACCGACCAGGCCGACCAGGCTCTGTACTTTGTGGGCTGCTAACCATTTCTGGAGGCCAGTGGGTGTCGCTCCGACACCCTGGGCGTGACATGGCGCGGGCTGCCGGAGACGGAACAGTCTGGAAAAGAGAAGCACATGAGAACAGCATACAAAACGAAGGCATTTTAGACAGTCCCCAAGACTAGAAGGCAAAAGTGCCGCCTCTCCAAGCCGTTTCCCCTCCAGAACAAGGCCACATGGGCGCTTGGGTGGGGATGCCCGGCGTTTGGCAGGCCAGATTGTTCCGGTCCCCCAGGTCTAGCCCAAGTGGCACGAGGGAAATTAGCATTCCTTTAGGCTTTGCCCCACTTGCAAACGTTTGTTGATTACGCCGGAACAAGAATTCGACGGCAGGCTGTACTCTGAGGATAGCGCCTGCAACGCGCTGGGTAGGCCAGCCCGCCAAGCAGCTGTGTCGAGCCGGCGGCCCGCCCCGACTCCTCCCCGCCCCGCCCAGCCTCCCAGCCGCCGCACTCAGTCTCGAGGTAGGCGGAACACGTTTGCCAGTGCCCGGGGGACTCGGGGGAGACTCCATTGTTGGGCACCTTACGGCACGGCGTATGAGGTGGTATATGATTTTCTCGCAGTACGTGGAAAGTGGGGAGGGGCACCAGTAGCGCGCAGCAGGAGGAGGGTCAGGGCATGGGAGAGCCTGGCCTATGCTCTCCTGCGCTGTAGCCGGGGTGGAGTAGAGACTCTAAACCTCGCACCCTGTGCGCGCCAGCACGCCAGTAGGCCGGTCCCCCGGGAGGGAGTGGGGGGGAGGAGGGGGTATGACTATATTATAAAATATGTTGATAGCGCCGGGCCGGCGGGGCGCGCTGATGGACGGGCCGTGTCGCTCGCGCTTCGCTCGGGGCTGCGCATTCGGAGCGGATGCGTCGCCGATGCGTAATGCGGCTCTCTGGCGTTACTGTTGGTATCGATATCGATCTCCACGACAGCGCGACGCACGGTCACGGCGCACCTCCTCCCCAGACTGGCAGAGGATGTGTCCGCATGATGTGTGTCGTGGGTCGGATCAAGATCAAGTGGCTCCGCCTTGGAAAGGCTAAACGGCGGCCCTGGAGCCTGCTCTCGTGAGCCTCGGAGCCACGCCTGCCGCGGCGGGCGCGTGAGGGGCTTAGCGCCGAGCGTGACGGGGTGGCGGAGAGTTTCAAGGGCGGCGCGAGGGCGCGGGGGTGAAGGAGAGGGGCTCCAAGGACGACCGGCGGGACGTTTGGTTGGGGAAGGGGGCCGATTCCCCCCACCCCCCGGAAAGCCTCTGTTGAACCTCTTTCGTAACTAACACACTTCCGCGACATATTCAGGGCCGTCGTGCGTAAAATGTGTGCATATTAAATTCCATCTCAGACTGAAAAGCTCTCCTCTGGCTCCGCATAGGCGCTGCCAGGACAGGGGCGGGTGTGTGTGTGTGTGTGTG